ACAGGAGAAATTCTTTATCTGATCTGTTGTTTGACAGCAGAAACTCTTTTTTTTTTTTTTTTTTTTTTTTCAGTTTCTCCAACTTTATTTTCAACCATGTCTATTCTGCCTTCCATAGTTCAAATCTGTTTTCTACTATGGCAGTAATTTCTCTTTTCATTTCCTCTTGACTTTCTTCAATTCTCTAACCTGCTTTCATTTCATCTTTAATGAACTTGACAGCCCCTTCCATTTTTTCTTTGCCTGCTTTTATTGCCTCTTGGACTACTTCACCTCTTTTTTAAATACAGCAAAGGCTGTTACCAGCTGTCTTACTTACTCCTCCATCTCTCTTGTCACCAGCATTCAATCCCATTTCTTACATGAAAAATTGGCATATGCATAGGGGTTTATAATGAACAGAATGCACAGCTTGATAAAATTTATTTTACCAAATGGAACAATTTATAGTTCAGGAACTTTCCACAAAGAGACTCGCACAGTTCTTTTCAGTTAGAGAGAGCACAATCAAAAGTTACCATTTCAAACTACTAATAACATTAAACTAATAATGTTAAACACAATGCAATGCAAAATGCATCCAAAGAGTGCAGCCTGCATGCAGCTCTCTCAATACTCTGAAATCAACCCCGAACTAAAACTGAGAATCTGATGCTCTCTCCAATCTTTTGTGGTTTTCCCTCAGCTGCCGAGAAGTTTCCAGTACCTTCCACTGCCGGAAGGCACATACAGTTAAAGTTACATATAAGTCATGAATACAGTTATAGTAACATACAGGGATCAATTACAGTACCAGTTACAGATATACAGGGATTTCTCACCGAATTTGGCAGCAAAAATTAGCTGCAAAAACAATCACCAGCTTAACGATATCTTGCTAATTTAGCAAGATAGCCATTTATTTCAACGTTCATACTTGCCAACCTCTGACACTCAAAAATCAGGAGATTTTTTTAAGACATCAGGAGATTTTTCACAAAATGATAAAAATATAGTTTTTATAATGAATTAACTTTAAATAGTTACTAATTCTTAAATGCAAGCAACAGAAAAATACCTTACAATAAAAAACATTTTTATTACTTGCATCGTTTAAGAAAACAAAACCAAAAAAAGACACTTTAAACAGTTTTCGTACAAATCTTATCAACAGTGGCAGATTTTGCTTTCGTATTCAGAATGTTATGAACAGTGGCAGATTCATGCTTAGCTAAACTTACAGTAATCGGAAAATGTTTCGTCTGTTGAGCAATTTTTTATTTTGAGAGAAATTTGTATCAGCTTTACGCTTATATTTTGCAGTATTATTTTGAGAACTGCCAGTTGAATTGCTGAATGGTGCAGAAAATTACTTTATTTTTTTCTGAAACCTATTTTAACAATGTAAGTAGTAACTACACCTCCATTTACTTTAGGTATTTTATAACTTTCAGTAGAGCCTTTTATCTTAACTCTCGAAGCATTTAATTCTTCTTTAAAAAATGCAAAAAGGTTCCATTGATTGAGGATTCTAGATAAGCATTTCTTTAAAGACAGCCAGCGTGTACACACATATTTCAAAATTTTTCTCATTTCAGTAATATGCAGCTGTTGGAACTGTTTCAATTTTCCCTTCCTTTTAGAACTCCTTTCAAGATAATAATAAATATCAACAATGTGTTCATCCACATTTATTGGTAAAGAAGCTGCCCCTTTTTCAGCTGCTAAATTTAAGAGGTGACAGGTGCACCTCATAATGTGCAAATCTGAATTTTCCTTTCTTAAGATGCCTGCAACACCAGTCTTCAAGCCTACCATTACTGGTGCATTATCGGCACCAAGTGCTAAGCAATTATCCAGAGGGACTGCATTTTCTTTTAAAATTTTAATAATTAGCTGTGCTATACAGTGTCTCACAAAAGTGATGGGACACTTGTGCTTTACAAAAGGAATCTGTAGTAAAATAACTTAAGAAAACATGTAAAAATTTTTTTTGTGGGTGTGTTTCATACTTAAATTTAGTAAAAATTATTACATAACATACCTTTTCTCAAAATATTAAAATATTAATTTAATAAAAATATAATTGTTTAGAACGGAGCAAAAAATGGCTCACATAAGTGGTGGGACACTTACATTTCCATCAAATATTTATCCAAAAATTTTACTTTTTTAAAAGGTTTTAATATTTTGTTGGATTTTCTTTACTTTTAAAACATGATTTAATCTTCTTGGAATGGAATCAACTAATTTTTTTTTTTTTTTTTTTTTTTTTTTTTTTTTTTTTTTTTTGTATATTGACATTTTAAACTCAGACTGGAGTGAGTTTTACCCTATTCTTCTTGAAGCACCGATTTTTAATTGTTGTTTTGAAGAAATGGTGTGTTTGCGAATTCTTGATTCCAATTTCTTCCCAAATATTTCTCTATGGGATTTAAGTCTGGAGATTGTGGTGGTGTTTTTATTATTCCAGGATAGTTATACAGCAGCCAGAATCTAACGTTCAAAGCAATGTGCTTGGGGTCATTGCCCTGGTAGAATTTAAAATCGTTATGAAGGTTCAATTTTCGTGCCTGAAGATTTCAAATTTTGATTTAAAATGTTCAACTATACTTGTACCGATCCATTATACTGTCAATAAAAACAAGATTCCAAACTCCAGCGGACGACATACACCCCCATACCATAACTCCTCCTCCACCATGTTTTACTGTTGGCACCAAGTTTCTGTTTTATGAAATTCTTCCCTGGGTTTTCTCCACAACCAAGATTCTACCGTCAGAACCAAATATTTTAAATTTACACTCTCATCAGCAAATATAACTTCATTCCAGTAATCAGAATTCTTATTTATGTTGGATTTTGTGAAAGCCAGTCTGAGTTTTCTATTCTTTTTCACTTACGAAGAATGTTTTCCCGGCTGTGCTCTACCGTGATATCCAGCAGATCGAATTACTCTTCTAATAGTCTCAGGATTAACAATTACTCCATATAATGCTTGTAAATCAGCAGCAACTTTAGGAGCACTCATTCTTGGGTTTTTTTTTTTTTTTTTTTTTAATATTTGAACAATAATTCGCTTTATTCCATTGGATAGCGCTTTGATGGTCGGCCAGGTCTTCTTTTATCCTGAATCATATGATTCTTTTTATATCGTTTAATGATCTTGAAAACTGTTGAATGACTTAAGTTAACAAACTGTTTCAGCAGTTTTTCTTATAGATTTTCCACGTTCAATATGCAAATTAATAACTAATTTTCTTTTCGTTTAGCATTCATGGCTGCACAGAGCTAAAAAAACACAAAAATTCCAAAATAAACTGGAGAGAAATACTGCAGACGATTTTATAAAATTATTGCCAATTGCTTTTGAGTAAAAATAAAAACCCCAAAAAATATTTTTATTGTAGTACGTAGTAGTATCTAATGGTGTCCCCATCACTTATGTGAGCCATTTTTTGCTCTGTTCTAAACAATTGTATATTTATTAAATTAATATTTTAATATTTTGAGAAAAATGTATGTTATGTAATAATTGTTACTAAATTTAAGTATGAAACATACCCACAAAAAATTTTTACATGTTTTCTTAATTTATTTTATTACAGATTCCTTTTGTAAAGCACAAGTGTCCCATCACTTTTGTGAGACACTGTATTTAAGCGTGCTGAATGTCCTTCTAAAGTGGGGACAGAAAGTGAACTGCATTCAATTTCTAAAGACTCTGGATTAAAAAAAGAAACAAATAACAATTGGATACAGTTTTGAATTGGTATTATTGCTTCCATCCGTAGAGAGGCAGAACGGAGCTGTTTTAATGTAATCAATAACTGAAGATTTATTTTTCAAAACCATTTCTTTAACAATTGCACCTGTTTTGGTCCTTGCAATTGAGTATTTCTTAGCGATTTCACTATTGGGAAACATTTTTCTAAATAAAGCTGCAGCGTGATCCTATGCATTTAATGGCAGGTTGTGCTCCAGTAAAAAGGCAGAGAACAGACATTTTGCATTAATAACTTTTTGGTCCTTTGTTTCTGAAGAAAAATTTAATTTTTCGTTTTTTTCAAAACAACTCACGTTGTCCTTGTGTTTTTGCATATACACATGGTTGAGAAAATCCGTCCTTCCACCATGCAAAATCGAAAAATCGCAACGACAGACGGTACACATCGCAAATTTATTACATTTCCTTGTAATAAATTTGTGATGTGTACCAGCTGTGTACTATTTTTGAAACGTACAGGAGTATTTCACCTTTCTCGCAGACATAGCGAAAGATGATAATTTCTAAAACTATATCCCCGAAGGCACGTGTACTCACACAACTCAGAACAAGATGAATGAAATAACTAAAGAACATCCAAATAACAGCCTTGAGCTTGCTTTGTGCTCATTGGCTAATATATGGCAGATGACACGCAGTGGAGCTCGATGCTCATTGGAGAACGACGTTTGGATACATATGCTCTCACTCACAAAGCAGAAATTCTCATCTGATTCGCAAGGTCTTGTTTTAGATATAATCTAGAGAAAATTCAATTGCTTTTAGATGTCCAAAATCATTTCTTTCTGTTCATATAATGAAGTATTAAGCCAAGTTCAATAAAAATCGTGAGAAATTTGAAGAATAAGAAAAAGTCTTGAGAAATATATTGTAAATCGGGTTGGCGGGAGAGCGGTAAAAATTCAGAAGTCTCCCGCCTAAATCGGGAGAGTTGGCAACTCTGAACGTTATATAGACTCATCCTTATATCCCCCCCTGGCAGAGCTTCACTCTCTTCATATTTTTCATGCTACATGATACAAAATTCTTAACAATACCAAGTTTCTGAAATTTGAAAGTTAAATAGAACTATAATTTAATAATTTCAGCATTGTGTTATTTATCTAGTAATGATATCTAGCTTTGATATCTCCACAGTCATGCATTTATTCTGGATGGCCAGCAGTGCAGATTCATAAAGTTCACCCAAAATACAAATCAATATTAAAATTTTATATGTTAGTTTAATACTTACTTTGTAATAATTTGTAAGTCTTTCACTGCAATAGAGTCAGTACTGGCATTAATTTCCTAAAGTAAATTAATAAAAAAATTGTTCAGCAAGACAAACTGAATTAAAAATTGACATTCATAATCATTCTTTATATTTAACAGGTATAATAAAATCCCATTTAATTAATAAAAATTAATTAGACTTCATTAAATAAAAATAATATTTTATTAATTTTAGAATTAGTTAATCAATATTTAGCAACTGAAAGAACACTATAAATATACGATACTTTTCAAACGGTATATTAAATAACAATATTCTTCAAATATTCTGAGCAGCAGTTTTAAAATAAACAAAATACATGTTTTGGAATAAGGCAAATAGCAGTATATCACAAAGGTAAAATAATGCATTTGAAATAACCCTCCAACCAGACAAAATTTGTTCCTAAAACCTACAAAGCTCTTAATGGTTCCATGAAAAATAAATATTTTCTAGAATACAAATATAGATTGCATTCTTTTTCTAGATTATAAATGAAAACTCTCCATCTGAATTGTATGCAAATGCCTTTGCTCATAATATGCTATCTCAACAGCATAAGAATACTGTCAGATATATACTACATATAAACTTACTTAATGGTCTGGAATAAATATTGTTAAATGGTTATAAAGTTAATATGGTTCATAAAAATAGAATTAAATAATAAAAGAATTGCTTGTTTTTACAAACTTAACTTTAAAACTACATATTATCAACAAAAAATTAACACTGGATCAAAGAAAATCACACTAATTTAATGCATCAAGGAAAAAATTTAATCATTGCATTGAAAATTACATAATAAGAACAAATTACTTAACATAGCATATTTCTTGTAGCTTACATTTTCAATATCTTTCATTTCTGCATCAGACAACTTTACTCTTCTTGGGTTCAAGATTTCCAGTACAAATGGCCGTCCTAAATAAAAACGTAGCTATCTGAATATATATATGGGCATAACAATATTCGACAGTTACCCTCAAAAATAACATTCAGTTTCATGCACATGATGCAAAAAATGAATAAATGTTTATTATAAAAGTTTGTCCTTACCATTTCCTAACATTTTCACATCTACATCTTCTCTTCCAGATGCAGAAAAGACAATTTCTATTTTGAGAGAAAAATTTAATTACTACAGTATAAATATAATAATTTTAGAGATCAATTATTATTCTTAAAATTAGGCAAACTAGCAATCTTATTATGGCACAGGTTTTAAATAAATCTATACTGATTTCGAGAGGGGTTTAGGCACAGGTTTTAAATAAATCTATACTGATTTCGAGAGGGGTTTAGGCACAGGTTTTTCTTCTTCAGGAGCAAAAAATTCTGCAATGGAATGAAGGAGTAATGACCATAATTATATCAAGAACAAAGAGCAGAGCAAAGCAAACATGAATGTAGCACTATCTATCAAAGGTAATACAGTCAAATAACAAAGTCTGCCGACCTGAAATCCACGTTGCCTCTCAGAATATAAGCATTCTGTTTAAAGGTTCGGGAAACCGCAACATGGAATACGAAATATTGGGGAAAAAAATACTTAACGAATAATGACGTCATAATTACTGAATAATAATGAGTCATAACAGAAATACCAAATTATTGACATCATGATAAAAGTTTTTTTTTTCCTCCAATCTGCATTGAGGTAAAAAACCAAATGATTCACTCAACTCTTCTTTCAAGTTCACAATTCACGTTTATGCATTTTCTCAGCTTTGTTATTTGACAAGATTGTTTACTGCTGCCGTTTTTTTTAATCTAGAATTTTTGTGGACAAATTAAGAATATTTTTAATTTTAGTGCTTTTTAATACAATGACAGATAATAAACGTACTCATGATTTTACTGCTTGCAACGTTGAAAAACGTAAACACGTTGCATTGAGACGGTAATGCAAAAAGTGGAAATTCTGCAAAAGATGGAGGCAGGTGCTACTCCTCGGTTTATAGCAGAATCGTGACATGGACTGTGTATGATATACGGAAAAATAAAGAAAAGCAGTTGAAATTTTAAAGCAACAGTGATTCTAACACCGGAATCCGAAACTGGAAATCTTTGCATGAGGGGAAATCGGCAAGCCTCGATGCTGTCTTGTACATATAATACAATGAATAATATAATATAATCAATTTTATATATGTAATAATAATTTAATGCATATAATTAATTACTGTAATAATGTATATAATAATTTAATTAAATGTATCTAATAATTAACTCTTATTTATTTTGCACTTTTAGTCCAATATTAAAATTTATCTTTTCTGTCCTGAAATCCGCAAAATCCTAAAATCCGCACAACCTCTGGTCCCAAGCTTTGGGGATTTCTGGACTTGCAGTAAGAAAATATGTAAAATTACAATATTAGAATTTTAAAAGGGGTAGGAAGGACTGAATTGAAATTAATGTCTTTAAATATAGAGGATAAATTTTTGTGAATGTGAAACGAAAGTCCAATTAATCTACTGAAGAGGTTTTAGGCATCATTTTCGCAGACTCTATGTCAAAACTATGATCAAGTTTCCAACTATGATTTCCTATTAAAAGATTTTTTTTCCTCCTTTCTGGGCATAAGTTCTGTATTTCTTGAAGTGAAATTTTAACACTCTTTCAATCTAGCCAATATACCTCAAAGAACACTAACAAGATATGTTAAAATTTTCACCAAAATTAAAGGCAGAGGTGGAATCTTTAAGAATTGAACAATGAATTTTACTAAAAGATGAGAAAATGAGCTGAAAGTTGAACTTCTAGAGAATCTGTGTAATATCATAAATGACAGAAGGATGAAATGGAATAGCAAGGTTATACTGTTATTTCTAACAGCAGAATGTCTTCTTTGACACAAAGATGAAAATTTTCAAGGAGTTTTATCAATGACAAATTTATCATTGATAAAACTCCTTGAAATTATCAATCAATGTTATATCAATGTTTTATCAAAGGAGGAAGAAAATTCTCCTTCAATGACAACTGATTTTATGCAATTGTGTTCATTAGAAAGCAAATATTCTGAAGAACAAACTTTGAAAACACAGTATACATTGAAAAAAAAAAACTTACTTAGCAGAGTGGCAGAATTTAGCATGAGGATAGGAAAAAATGGAGTTTATGGCAAACAGTGATGCTAAAATTAAATTCAATATAAATTGTGAACTGGATAGATGAATCAATCGATATCATAACAAATAAAATCTGGGATAAATATTCTTTATTAATTTATCATCTGAGCTACAAATCCATAGCTGAAAAGACTATCTTTCAAATACTTTGACATTAATATAATGCACATAAATGCCAGAAAATACCAGACTGTAGCAGTTGTGCATAGCTACACCGTCAGCTTTAAGATAATAATTACTTTGGAAAATGAAATGAGTTTGACTTGAAGAAATTTTAGTGAGAAAAATTAAATCCTCAGTTTCAGTATATGTGAAAAGGAATTCTCAGTTTGGTTTCCAGGCATTTTAATGTTTCCTCAACTGGAACACTAATAAAGAGAGATCTAACATTAAAAGAAACCATAAGTGAGCAATGGGAAGAAATATATTTAGTTGTGAAAAACTTGAGATAAAGAAACGTAAAGCCAATTTTTGATTTTTTATGAACTTTTAATGATTATTTTATGAGTCTTCACATTTTAGTTCCCTTATTTCAGTATTATGCAGGGTTACATTTTGACTGCAATATTTTTAATTTCTTCTATTGTTATGGTTTCAACTGAATATGAATTTAAAAACAAAACTATATGTTTAAAATACAGTCAAAAGTCGTTAATCCGGACTCGTCGGGACTTCGGCGATTCCGGATTATCGATTTTTCCGGATTATAGATCATCAGTTTAAATCTCGTAAGATGGCATGCAGAAATTATAAAATTAAAAATATGAAACCGTAATTTATGAAATAAAGAACAATTATGATCAATTATGATCAAAATTTGCAAAAAGAAAAAGCTTAATATTTATTTGTTTACTTTATTAAACATTTCTTTAATAAATGGCCAAAGTGAATTCGAAATGGGTATTTAGTGGTATTGAAAAGGGTAGTAATAAATGTTTGTTTAAGGTTGTGCGAGATAGAGAAATAAAGATGTTTTATTAAGTTATTTGTTTAACTGTAAGTTGTTTAAGTTTTGCTTCGTTTCATGTGATAATACTTTCTCTTTAATTCTATTAAACAGACATAATTTCTTGTTCAGTTACAAAGTTCCGCCGTTCAAGTTCTATAATTGCTGTGTCAAGAATACCCACTAATTTATCAATCGAAATTTTTTTGTTTTCAATAACCTCTGTCACTTTTCTTCGCTATCGGAAGCGAATTATAATGACGAGGAACTTGTTTTAAATCATATCAAAGACGAAGCATATCGAGATGAAATACTACATTTGGTAAGGAATTATAAGCCAAATAAAATAAAAACATCTGCGCTGAAGATAAGGATAGTGCTGACAAATCAACTTCCAATTCATTACGCGCCCGCCGCCGAGCAGCATGAAATTGATAAACAGATTTCGGATTTCAAAACATACTTTCGCTTTAGATCCTTTACATATTAACAAATATATATCGGAAATTCTATTTGATATAATCAAAAGTTTAAGCTTACTTTTATAAAATTGCTCTTACAGTCTGCAAAAAATAATAAGCCGGATGCAATTCGAAAATTAAGGAGCAACGCAATCATCAACATTAACTGAAATAGATAATTATTTAGCTTATACGTCCATTATACATAAAATGCGCGCGTGAAAACGTATTCTGCACTTGCGCACACTCATATGCGCAGTCGTAAAAGGTCTTACGCGCACGCGTGAACGCCTCTGCGCATGTGTCAACGCGGCGCATGCGCAGAAAGTTTTTTAGTTTTGATGTCCCGGATTATAGATCATTCCGAATTATGGGTGTCCGAATTAACGACTTTTGACTGTATTATTTTTCTTTATATAAACTTTTAAATAAATCAAAATGGCATAAAAAATGCTAATTTTTGTGGCACTAGAAGCACACAAATGACAGTAAAATAACCAAATTATGAAGTAAAAAAATTAAATTGCGAGACACAAATAATGCAAAAGGTGGTGAAAAACAGCAAACAATAACTGAAAAAATCCACTGATAATAGAAATTGCCTACTGTGTTTGTTTCATCGGGAAAGGGCAATGCATGACATACAACCAACCACTAGCAGATCTGTTTCTGAACTTATAAATTAAACATTATATAATTTACAGTTTAAACATTATATAATTTATGAAGATGGAAATCTATCAATTAATAATGTCGATATAAGGTCGTAAACATCAAAAATTCATTATTAGTTATTCAGTTATTACTCATCAACCAAATTATTAAATGCATTATTACTTCATCTTTAACAACATTTTGATCTATTTCTATACTGTGGTTTATAGCATATACCTTCTTCTTAAAATTCCTCATTCCATTCAACTTACAATTTTAACTATTTCGATTAATTATTAATTATGGTATGCATATATATATATATATATATATACATATGAGTTTGTGTATGTAGAATGGTCGAAATTACGGACTTTGTAGTGTTCCTCATCCCTTGTCTATGATAAAAACGTAGAGGAACCTAGTGAACTATGTAGCGACTTATCGCTAAATTCAAAGCAACTAAGACATAGACTTCAGAAAGGTTAAAATACCCTTTTATTCACTCGGATAAGAATAACATTTGGCCCCTTCTTGGGCTTACAGGAAAGCTTCTACTCGGGCTTTAACTCAGAATAAGAAATAAGAAACTAAACGAGACTTTTAAGGACCATATGAACCCCGTTTTATTAACATAAATACTCTAAGAGTAGTTAATTACACCTTACTTCAGCAACTCTGAATAATTCAAAGCAACTTACTATCAGCATAAATTCTTCTCTGCACAACATTAGTGATAAGTTCATTTACTGACGAATCCATTCTACGTTCACCGTCCACTATCCAAGGAGTCTGACTGAGCTCACGGGAATATTTATTATAGCGACCACCAAGGTAAAGAGGTGAACGAGTACACAATATATCATGAAAAATGCAGCTTTTGTCTGGAGGTGATGGAGGAAAAGTGAAAAGGCTAAAAAGAAAAAATGCTACATATATATATCTTTTATATAAGGTTAATTAAAAACATGCTTTTAGTCAACTAAAGTATTACTATTTGCATTACAGTCTTTGATCTGACTTAAAATTTAAAAAGAGCCATGACGATATATGCAAGAATATTATATCATTTCAATAAGATATTTTAATCATTTTATATCATTAAGTGTCTTCACACAATGATTTTTGGTTAAAAGAAGCATAAAATAAGCTTCGTTTTTAGGCAACCAGACCTTGCAACATCACAAAAATTTGTTTAAGGATTTTGCCTAAAAGTTCTAACTTTTGATATTTATGTTAACTTGAACTGATCAATCACAGTGAAGCAAACACAAACTGACATTCGGTTCACAGTTTTGATGAGTCGGCTGCACATTTATGCATGTGCAAGTTCATCTTTCTATTGGCTACTTCTTCAATATTATTACATAGGTGTAAATGGCCTTAATAACTTTTATGCCTCAGACCACAAAGCTTTATGACCAAATGCATTCAGATGAATAAAGCCACATGGACATTTTCATTAAAAATCAATTAATGTTAGAAAATTCGATAAAACACATAGTTCGGGCATGCAAATTTGTTTTTAATTAATTATTCCCATTTAATAAAATTTCAGTTTCACAAATACTTTTTAAAAAATTCTTTTAATTACCCCTACATAAAATTCAAAAAACTTCTCAGCCGAGCTTATTAGTAAAAATTAACATTCTTGAAGTAATTTTAGGTACCCCAAAACAAAGTTTATCTGATTTAAATATATTGAATTAAAAATCTACCAGAAAAATATAAAAGTTTTGTTTTATATACTAGAAATAACTAATTTTTTTAACACCTGACATCAGGAATTTTATTTTCCCCATGTGAAATTCAGACAAAACAGAAATCATAAGCATTTCACTAGTAAGAAATACTTGTTGCAAGTCTTGTGCAGAAACAATCCTGTAAGAAAATGCAGTTACTTAAGTGTTTTCTTTATCTAATAAGTGCAAATGTTATGTAGCATTACTTGGTCACAAAATAATATCATAATAAATTTTAGCCCCTTCTATTGTTTGGGATTACTACCTTAAATAGCTCATTTGAAGTATATGAGTCATGTTCTGTCTTGAAATCTTGACGAATATTTTTTCAGCTAGTAAGCCTATCGTAAATATTCTCAGATAAATCATAATTTATCAACTGGTTGTACTATAAATTGTTTTAATTTTTGCAGTGCTTCTTATTGCCTTGTAATATAATGTGATTTCATGATGCCCTTTAGATTAGTTAGACCCAAGTTGTTTTCCATTGTATCTTGTTTTAGTTGTGTCAGTTCTTTAACTTTTTAGTGATAGTCTTGATTTTTTTTAAAGCAACTCATAACAGATAATTTCTATATCACACCAAACACAGAGCTTTATTTTCTTTAGATGAATGCCTATTTCCAGCATTTAGGCCTTATCTTTACCAATCCATTGTATTTTTTTTATTACATAAAACATGTAGATTTTTTTTTTGGGGGGGGAGGGTTAGGAGGTTAGTAATTCTATTCTACTGAGAAATAGTTCCTTTTTAACTATGGATGTAAAAATGGCATACTTTCATTTGCAGTTTCAAATTCATCTCTAACAATATGTGCAGAATCCATTGATGCAATTAACAAATCTTTCAGTTTGCAAACTCAGTTTGCAAACTCCAATGGAATGTTGAATAAATTGATTGCAGCTACTCAGATATTAGATATAATAAAAAGTCACGATTTTTCACTGTTGCTGCATATAAGGTAAAAACTACATTAATTATGTAATAGCCTGATTTTAAAAAATATTACTCCAAAACAAAGAGTTAAGACAGACATGCAGAACAGTTTTTCAAACTAATGGACTGGATTAGGGGCAAAATCACAAGAAAAATAAAGTACCATCTCACTTTTGACTAACAACACCTAACGGACTCTCAATCACCTATAGACTGTAGAATGGTTTGACTGTGGTTGCTCAGATATTAGATATAATAAAAAATTGGAATTTTTCACTGTTGCTACATGTAAGGTAAAAAGCTGCATTATTTACATCAGGGTTTCTTAAACTTTTTTCAGTTTTTATCACTGAGATTTTTTTTTTCACGATCATCCCCAAGGACCCCTTCTTTAAAAAAATTTTGTGGGACCCCATAAGTATTTTGCAAATCTGACACATGTGTGAGTGAAACGAACTGTCAATTTTTTTTTTTTCACTTCTACTGTAATATACTATTGCAGTTTTAGGTCATTAACTTTAACTTCTAATTTTAAGACATAGAATAATGTGTAAATTTTACATAAGTAACAGATGAAATAACAGCGTCACATGCAAAGCAAGGAAACTGAAATTTTATATATAAAAAAAATGTGTTGACAACTTTTTTTTTTTTTTTTTTTTTTTTTTTTTTTTTTTTTTTGTTTTTTTTTTTTTTTTTTTTTTTTTTTTTTCTTTCTTTCTTTCTTTTCTTGTATTATCTATCTTTGTCTATTTTCAGATACATCGAGTAAAAATATATGATAATTGTAAAATTATTATAATAAGTCAAAGAAATATGAAAAGTGTTACCAATTTTTGGCGACCCCCTGCTGTAGGTCTCACGAACCACAGTTTTAAGAAACCCTGACTTACATAATGACCTAATACTAATTTTTAAAAAATTACTGCACAGAACATAGAAGCAATGACAGAATGCAGAGGCAACTTTTTAAACATATGGATTGGATTAGTAACTTAGAACAAAAAAAAAAAAAAAAAAAAAGAGAGAGAGAGAAATAAGTATTATTATTCCACTTTAGACTGAAAATTGGAAATATTTAATTAAAAAAAAAAAAAAAAAAAGGTTTGGTTGGTTTGGTTTATTTAATTATGGCAAAGCACACTAGGGCTATTTGCCTAAGGGGAGGGAGGCCTTCGTGGAGGACTTTCTAAGGGAAACTGGCTCGTATACACGTTACACATGGGGAAAACGTTTGCGAGATTCGAATCTCGGACCGAACTACCAGTAAAAAAAAAGTATTTAATTATATGTCTTTAAAAAAGTTGGAAAGCAAACACACCGTTGCAACAAATTAGTACTATGAGTTATTTAATACAGTACAATGTCAAAGATCCAGACTCGTCAGGACTTCAGTGATTCCAGATTTGGGATTTTTCCGGGTATTAGATCACCAGTTTAAATCTTGTAAGATGGCATGTAGAAATTATGCAATTAAAAATATGAAATCGTGATTTATGATCTAAAGGTTATCAAAATTTTAAAAAAGCTTAATATTTATTCTTTATTTTATTAAACCTTTCTTTTAATGTAGTTGTTTAAGCTGCAACCATTTTTTATGCTAATATTTTCTCTTTAATTCTGTGGACAGACAAAATTTCTTGTTCAGTCATGAAGTTTCATTGTTCAAGTTCTGTAATTGTTGTGGAAAGAATTCCGACTAACTTGTCAATCAAAATTTTTTCATTTTCAGTAACCTTTCTGTCACTTCTTTTAATTAGTGCCAAAGTGAAATTAAGAATCGAGACTTTCCACATGTTTTATTATGGAGGGGGAAAAAATCAAATGCACATGCGTAAAGCATTAAAGAAAAAAAAAGGGTTGTTGGTGTCTTTGAGGTCCGGATTTTAGATCATTCTAGATACTGGACATCTGAGTCTCAGACTTTGTACTGTAATTTAGATTTTTAAAACAATTATTGGGAGTACAAATAGGTTCCCCCATTTGACAAAAAAAAAATACTGTCACCAGTAAGTTATTGTTAAAATTGTCTGATGTAAAAAACCAAATCGTAAGGTTGGACATCTGCTAACAGCATAACCTTGAAATACTAGCGATTTTTAAAAGGAATGTGTCACATTCATTTTTTTACAAATTTTCACAAATTTTACACGTTCTTTTTATTATATTAGATTTTTTATGAAAAAGAAAGCAAAATAAAATAGTTCTTTATGATAAATTAAGTAGGAACACAAATAATGAAAATTAAAAATGATAATACTTTTGTATACTATTAACTTCATTATGGTACAGAAAGACTTTATAAAAGTAGCATTAAACTTCATGTTTCTTACGTTAACTGAAAAACAATAAAAGAAAAGCCTCTCAACAACAATTAATTAAAAGCTGATGTTAAGCGCAAAACTTTGGCCATTTTATTATAGAACATAATCATCATATCTCTGTACTGACACACCAAATAAATAATTTATTATTTAAGCAACTTAATGAATTCAACTTGTTTTGAAAGATTTTTTTTTAATTAAGTATAGAAAGAAAGTAAACCCCAGATGCAATTAGCAGTAATTACAAACAAAAATATGGTCAGAGCAAGAATTGTGTGTCCATGATTTTTAATTCCCTTATAAAATATATAAGCAGAATGCTATCTGTGAAATATTTGAAGCTGTGACTACATACATTATATAAACTTTATAAATAATAAAGGTTAATAATATACAATTCTATAAAATAACTTTAGAATTCTTTATTCTCATCATATACTTTTCAAGGTGTAAATCTTTCAAAGAATTTCAAACCGAAGGTTAAACATACTTTTAAAAATATAACATTATCACAGAATTTGCTAAAATCGACTAAAAGTAGAACAAGTAGAAAAAAATATATTGCACGTATTACCACAATTTGCTAACCTATTGATTTCTGAAGATACTAGTTCTACTGCTTTTAATATAGCTGCCCTTGTGTAGATTTCTTCTTCAGTTGCCTAAAATTAGATGGAAAATTAGTAAGTGTTTTATGAAAAGGGTAGAAACACATGTCAGAAAATAATTACAGAATGTTTTCAAAGCAACAACAAAGTTTTATTAAATAGCAATATGCAATTATTTCTGTCAACTGCATTTGAAAGAACGCTGTATTTACATATAAAGAAAGGCCGCAGCTTTTTACCCAAAATTATGATGTGGTCTATACATGAGATAATGAATAATTTTAAAACAATATATTATCATTAACTATCTTAAGAATAGAAATTAACATCCTAATTTGAAACTAAAAGCATTGTTTTTGTTTTTCACTTGAAACTTCATTATCACAACCTGCACTACTCTCAGTACTCCAAGATACACTTCACCATCTTCTGAGCCATTCACAGTCTTGGAAATGGCTGTAACCCTAAAATTTTTAGATACCATTTTTTCTGGTACTAACTGCCATAAAGCCACACTTCATTTATATATTTGTGACAAGGACAGATTCCTTAGCTCCCTGCCTCACAGCATGTCCATAATATTCCACTGCCAATCACAGTAAAAACATCGAAGAGAAGCCTTTCTCTTAACTCATTTTCTTTTACACACTTTTGGACAAATAACTTCAGAAAATGTCAATGTCAAATGCAGATTGCCGATATAACAGTACAGCTGGGCTTCGAAACCACACTGACTCCAGTCAATCCCAGAGTTAGGCATGATCTGTGCCATGATCTTGAACTCGCACCTATATTCCAGATGATAATTTTTCGTTCAGCAAGGCTTTTACATTTAAAAATGACATAAATTGGCTGCTTATTTCTGTTATAAACAGCATTACAGTACAATGCAGCTGCTTTTCTGCTCCCACTGTTCACACAAAAGCTATTTTTTCACCCGCCTGATTGACTCTACTGTTATTTAGCAAGAAAAAAGCAGTTCTGCCAGCATTGCCTACTACATCATAGTCAAGTATCTTTCTTAAGCCATGGGCAGTTTCTTTTGGTAGATATTAGGAAGTTGCTATGCCACAGAAGTTCAACATTAAACTATGAACTCATGTCATGGTATAAAATATTTTGTTTGTCTTGACATAACTTTTCTCAAATTCATTTTGGGAATTTCCATAGTTTGAACTATCCTTCCAGTTTTGAGTTGAATTATTTTAACAGATACTGAAGATACATTTGCCTGAATTTCATGGACATATCTTGACAGATCTGCTTTTAAGTCAGGGCAGTTAGCTGACTTTCCACAAAACTATTGCCAATTTTATGATGTTTTCTTAAGCATGCAACTTGTTTGAACTCACTGCTTCATAAAGTTTCTGTCCGTATCAAACTATTTTCCTGCTGCTTGATTTCATTCTTCCTGTGCATAATGCACCATTTGAATTTAAATATCACAGTATAATTTATTCTCACTCAAACCATGTGTGACACATATTTAATACGCACATAACAATAATCAATAGCTGTCACACCATCCCTTTGTTTAGAATTGGTGCTGAGATATTTCTTTACAGCTGGTTTTCTATTCTTATCCCTAGGCAGAATTCTAAGATCATTATTTTTTCCAAATATATCAGATTTGGCTTATACAGGCATATGGTCTATGCACATGTATAAAGGGACAGTGGATGATGATTTTAGCAAAAATCGACCAAAAATTGGGAAATAAAAATTTCATATAATAATATTCTACGGTTTTAACTCTATCATCTACAAAAAACCACTTGTATGTAAAATTATTTTTAAAGAAGTTATAAGCATTTGAATACGTTTGTTTACCTTTTTGCAACATTTAAAGGGATATTTATATGTCAATAAAAAGGTTAACAAACATTTGAGAAACATTATTTTAATTTCCACGACAATATTTTTACTATTAGTAAGATATAAATGTGTAAGATATGAAGACTGCAATTTATGCAAGTTTATTTCATGGATGACTTACCAAGCCAGTATAAATACCCAAACAGGTGTCATAGTTTTTTTTTTTTTTTTTTTTTTTTTTTTTTTTTTTTTCTTTTTTTTTTTTTTTTTTTTTTTTTTTTTTTTTTTTTTTTTTTTTTTTTTTTTTTTTTTTTTTTTTTTTTTTTTTTTTTTGTTTCTTTTTTTTTTTTTTTTTTTTTTTTTAAGCGTAGCATTGCTAAAAATATAAAACCTAAATCTCATTCAGTGATGAAAAAAAATTAACAGTAAATGTTTTATCCAAAATACTGCCAATGTATCAATGACTAACCAGTAATCAGCTTTTAGCATGTTGCATATCTGGAAAAATACAAAACATTAACGAGAGTTTACATAGTGCCATTTGGAAGAATTGCTCAAAGGAAACATTTGTATTGAAAACAGACTTGAAATAGCTGTTATCACAGCAATTAGTGACCTCAATTTTGAGTTTCTAAATACTTTAGGTATGAAAGAGCATTAATGTTCAGTATCTATTGGACAAAGGCAAGATAAACGTCATATACATCAAAGCAAAAAGAGGGATTCGACTGGATACAAGAAAAGCACTGAAAAGAATTACCAAAAAAAAAAAAAAAAAAAAAAACTGGTAAAGTAATAAAGATAATGAAAATGTAATAAGGAAGGGGAAACATATGGTGCAGGACGTTTTTAAAGTGATTCTTAGTTTAAAAAAAAAAGTATTTGGTTGAATTTTAATGAAAGTGTTCGAGAAAATTTCTAAATAATTTAAATATTTCTAACATTCCATGATTTATTAGTAGAAACATTATTTATACATATGTAAACAATATTAAAATATTTTATATTAAATAAATCATATACTAGGACATACTGAGAAGTCATAATGAAATTTTCACATTTATTCACTTTTATGTTCAATAAATTATTTTTTATGTTTTTTTTTTTTTATGTTCAAAATGACTGTAATTTGTAATTCAGATTCCTATTTATACATGTAACAAAACTTAGTATGCATTTTTGAGTATGAATTCATTATGGGGATAAAAGTCCATTAAACTGTATTAAGTGGGAAATTTTGTCCAAAATTTAGGTGTATGTGAAAGAAATATTAATTAAAAACTAACATTTTACGCAATTCACTAAATGATACTAAGTTGTGTTTGCAATGCATTTTCAATAAAAATAAAGCAAAAATAACAAGAAACCGAAACTGTGTAAGTAGATAAAGTAATGAAAAATAAAATAAATTAATAAAAAAAATTAAGTTGCATGGAGCATTTTGAAAAAAATTTAAAAACTCAAAAGAAATTTTTTTTTAAAAATTAAATTGAGTACTTTTTCTGTTTCGCCGGCACAGGCAATAAAGTCGTCAATAATGGCACAACTGATGCTGAAAGGAATATCCTCGCTGGTAACCTTTTATGTCTTATTTTCAAAACAAGTCGCAGCCATTTTTAATCAGATTGATTGTTTCTTTCAATATTGGCATACAGTTTACAAAAATTTTTACCAGATAGTTCAATTTTATGCCCTAAGGCCATTCGCAGGCAGTAATTAAGTCAATAAGGATGAAATCACAACTGCTCACCCAATAGCAAAATATAGAAAAGGCCAGTCAAGGGTTAAATTCATCAGTTCTAAATGAGAATTCACTAGCGAAGTAAAGCACTGCGGTTTTACATAATTTCTGAATAAGCTATTCATAAGACTTGAAATAATTCTTGCATTTAAATTTGTATTCCAAATTAAAATTTAAATTAATGTAGATAATTACTGAGAGAATTAGATATTTGTAGTGTAGTTTACATGAGATCAGATCACTTGGGGTCGCGTGATATGAACCGGCGAATCAGGATGTTTTACTATGAAAGCATAGTAAATTCTTAAATTGTATTTTTAAAAATTTATTGGCTTTTTTACAAAATTTTAAACGACATTAAAAAAAATAAAATAAAAAATTAAAATAAAATTTCTTGAAACTAACATTTGTCTACATTTTTTATGTGTATACTGTGTGCTGTCACCAATAAAGTCTGCTTGGCGAGATTTGCATCGACGAAAGGGAAAAGTACCTTAAATTGCAATGATCCAGAAATTTTTTTCAAAGATATTTGATATAACTATAGTAAAATATACATGCATGCAAGTTTTCATAACTCTATGACAATAATTTTTAAAAAAGTATTTGAACGTCCACCGTCCCCTTAAAGGGAATATCTACTAGAAGAGTTGTTTCAAACATCATGGCACAATGCATGGTGCTTAACTACAACATATGTGAATTACTGTAAAAAAAAATTCAAACTACTCATACACTAATATTTAATTTAGCTTTTGCCATAACAGGGGTAAATTGTCTGGAACTGATAAATATTAATTCAATTAGAACATTTTTTATTTATTAAAATAATATAAAGTATATACTTAAAAATAAAATAACAAAACACCAAGAAAAAATTTAAAACTTTCACAAAAGCTGTTTTTTAGAAATATCACAAAACGTTTATAAAATGCAATTATCTTTAAATATGACATTTAGGGAGGCAGAAAAGACTATTCATGCAAGGCAAGGTCAAATAATGGGAGCATTTTCCTAATAAATCCGATGACAAAATTACTACCTTTGCTGCTGATTTTACTGATGTTTCTGTGACAAGCATAAATCGCATGAAATCCGAACAGAAAGAAAGTGGTGGATTTTTGACACCAGGGAAAAATTGTCGACAAAAGTCAGTACACACAACCCGAATCAAACGACATGATGAGTTAACTTTAGCAACAATACGAAGAAAATTTCATCATTTCTTTTTACAAAATAAGCTGTGAAAAGGTTATTCTAGCCTTGTATGTGTTCTTAAGCTAGAATGTTGAGAGATATATCGCAATCATATTGTGTGATTGAGAAGGCACAGTATTACCAGATAACCTTCCCAAGAATATTCTACGCTGGCGACTTTACTTTTATATAGAGTCAAGTAAAAACAAACCACACAAAATAGCTAGATATCTATAGCTTCTCACTTTTTTTAGAAGACTAAATGTCTTGGTTCAATTAATTATGAAGCTTTTGAAATATTTTGCGGTGCTCCTGTGAAGAGGCCGTGGTTCCTCAGAATGCCGCGGCACACAGTTTGGAAACCACTGCAGTAGACCATTCCAGTACATCATCCACAAGCATTCAGCGATCCAATTCATAAAGCATTCACAAGCAAATCCAACTTTTAAAGATTTTCTTTCTTTTCTTTTTGTTTGATAGAATTAGTACAATATTATTATATTTTATATGTTTTTGAATAATATTATCAAGTTTTTTACTAATAAAAAATAAAATAATTACATTTGGATGTTCATCGGTTAAGTTTACTAATCACTTTGTAAAAAGGAATGAAATAAATTAATTACTTTCTTTTGGACATTGAGTAGTTTTAGTTTACCATTACGCATATATATATTTTAAGTGCATAAGAGCTGCACCACACATCTGCAAGAGGCACACTATGGCCACCTACATGGTATAACTACACTAATGTAAACAATTACCATTAATTATAAAATTGAATAATACTGAACTGATTATTTGGCAACAAGTTACAACACACCATACTCCATACTTCCGAGTGCAATAACTTTTCAAGAAATAAGTGTGGATTTGGGGATGACCAATATTCCATGTTCTGATTGCTGACATAGCCACTATTTTTTCTCTAATGAAAACATTATCAAGCTTACTCAGTTCATTTTGGTACAAATAAAGTTGCAAAAACGTATGCAGAAATACCATTATTTCTGAAAATTAAATTATGGCAATTAAAGTAAGATTATACAGATACAGGTGCATTTTTTTTTTCAGAGTGCATGCTATCATAAGACAAATCTTATACACAGTTCTCAAATTTCTGGTTTTCAAATGTGCCATTTTACTCGATATTGCCTTTAATTTTTAAAGGCAATAATTTCACTGTTTAAAAGACACTTGGCCATCCACTTCACTTTCTATCAAACATACTTTCTAATGCTTGAAAATGTTTTAAGGGAAAAATCATAATCATAACTCTCTTGCCATATGATGGGTACAACATCTTTTTATTAATCAAAAGAATTTTCTGATATTTTTTCATAAGATCAATAAACAACAATGAATACACACATTTATTGGAGGTTAAGACAAGACTCAGCATTGCCTTAGCATCTCCAATAATTGTTAACAGGCATGTTATTTTTACTCAAAATATACACAGGCTCTAGGAAAGAGACAATTTATATGAGACAAAATAATAATAACATTAAATGAAACAAAGAAGATTTTCAAAAATGATAAATAATCATGCAAAATATTCTCTACTGCTATTTCAATTTTCCAACCAAATTTCTAAATAAGAAATCATACAATACCTTCTACTATTTTAAAAGGCATGACTTTTGGATCACTCTTTTTAAATGTAATAGCAAATTTATAGAAAATATGACATTTAGATGAAATATTAAAAAGAAATGCATAGATATGAAAAATCACAATTTTTTGCTTTAGAGATTACTAAACAGAATCTGTTTAACGATGAAGATTAAAAGCAGCATTTGCATACTAACCACTAGTGGGAACTTCAGCTGCTGCCAAAGTATGGTACAGTCAAAAGTCGTTAATTCGGACACCCATAATCCGGAATAATCTATAATCCGGACTTCAAAGCTAAAATTTTTCTGCACATGCGCCGCGTTGATGCTGCGCATAGGCGTTTAGGCATGCGCGCAAGACCTTTACGACTGTGCATATGCATCTGCGCTTGCGCAGAATACGTTTTCGCGTGCGCGTTTAATGTATAACGGACGTATAAGCTAAAAATTATCTAATATCTATTTCAATTATATTGATGATTGCGTTGTTCCTTATCTTCGAATTGGATCCAGCTTATTATTTTTTGCAGACTGTAAGAGCAATTTTATAAAAGAGCTTGAACTTTCGATTATGTCAAATAAATTTCCGTTGCTGGAGCTCCCAAAGGATCTAGAAAATGAAAGTATATTTTCGATGTCTATCAAACAAAAGAATTGCTACAAAAAATGGATAAAGACATATCCTTTGTTTATCTAACCGTTCCGAATCGTTTATCAATTTCACCTGCTCTGCGTGGGGAAGGGGGACGTCGCGGCAACGCAATGAAACTGGAAGTTGATCTGTCAGCACTATCGTTATCTCAGGCAGATTTTTATTTATTCGGCTTATAATTCTTTACTAAATTAGTATTTAATCTCGATGTACTCTGATATAATTTAAATCAAATTCCTCGTCATCTAATACACGAATACAAATCAAAATTTTTCTCTTTGCGCAATTTTCTAATTTCGGCTATGCTAGGTATGCTTTACCAGGCGCGCATTGAAGAATTTTAAAAGTAAAAAAAATAAAGATAAGCTTTTTTTTTTTTTGTAAATTTTGATACCCTTAGTCATAATTGCTCATTATTATAAATTAACGGTTCATATTTTACTGCATGCCCACCTTGCCAATTTTAACTGATGATCTATAATCCGGAAAATCGATAATCCGGAATCGCCAGTCCTGGACTTCCAGATTAAAAACTTTTGACGTATACACTAGTTGAATGTTCCAACCTTACCACGTTATTTGTATATTAACACTGGCTCATGTTCTTGTATCCCACTGCGTATCATTATTAGGACCCGGCTGCTCTTGTCGCATGTTCTTATATTATTAATTTTAATGAGTTTTTTGAATTTGCAAACCGTTTTTTAAAAAAATATTTAGTGCTTTTTCTTGTCTTTTGTGTGGTTTGAATATGAATTTCGCAATCTTTATTTACCAATAATGAGATGGATTCAATTCATTTTTTTTTCAAGAAAGAGGTCTTTTATTTGCAAAAAAGTATATGAAATTGCCACTACAGAATTTCTGTTACAATAACCCTTTTGTTGCAAGTTTTAAAATTGAAAAAGGAAAGGACCCCTCCTTCCGAAATTGGTTCAGTGGTTCCCGAATCATCATCACTGCTATTAGATTTATACTATATTCTTCAGCAGAGGACTCAGTCCATGAATGGTTAACACGCGCTAATATGTGTAAAGTACTGCATTTGACTGAACAATTAACGAGATAAAAATAATAAGGATAAAGATTCTTAAAAATATTCTTAGGAAACCGACGAGTCCGGATTAAAGACTTTTAACTGTATAAGCTGACAAAAGAACGTGCAGTGCCTTGTTACAATCATATCTTTAATCAGCATGTATATGTAACAATGCTTATGTAACTACATACTTGTATACAATGCTTATGTAACTACATATACTCAGTCTGCTCAGTTAGCTTTGATACATTACACATTTATCATTTTGACTACGAGTTTCTGGGATTAGAAAAAGCAGTTATCAGTTTTACAGAATACCAGAATTCTGCCACTTATACAGTGAAATTACACACTAGAGAAAATGCACTGTTCAAATGAAATATCAAAAAATACAAACAGACAATAAGAATGAGAGTAAAAAATTCATTTAAAGCAAACTGAATCATATTTCTCACACAATATGATTTTTATGATGCATTTACTTTTCTATGCTGAAAGAAATTAACATGAGTTTAATTTTTGTGAGAAGAATTGAATACAATGGGTAAAATGGTCACAGACTGAAAAAATTATTAAAATAGAAGCAAACCCCAAATTTCCAGTACTCAGATTGTTGACTAAGGTCCCCAAAATCCTCAAAAAAAATATGATCACCACTGAAGTTATCTTGGCACCAAAAGAAGTTGCCAGTAGTGGTTAATACAGAAATACCTTAGAACTATAATTTAGTAAACAAAGCAATGAAAATAATTAGTATGAGAGATGATATTACGATAATGTCAGTGTGACTCTATAACCACAAAATTTTCTACTACATTTCATTTAAAGAATTTAAATGGATGAAAATATCATTTTTTTTTTTTTTTCCTCTTGGAACTTTAATAAATTTTTGTGTGTTATTTTATACCCTGATTCCTTCTGATCTATTACATCTTATTTTCTAAAAATAATATTCAAAAAGGTAAAATGTACTTTTCTCTTTTTTCTGTTTGGAAATGCTTCAGGACATTTTTGGAACCTAGAATGAATGAAAAGTATCTTTTCTAATTTTGTAAAAATAAATACAATGAAAATATACTATTCCCCATAAAGAATCAAAAATAGAAAATAAGTAATTCACACTTAAATAAGATAAAACGCACTTACAATTTAAAACATTCTTTGGCAGTATCTGGGTATGTCACTGAAAGACTGATCTGGAAATTACTGTAAGGAGTAAAATCAGTCTTTGTGATTTTTCCTATCTGTGATCCAATGACCCATTTCCAAACATCTTTTACAGATGGAATTTCACAGCACAAAATAGTATACAAATCCCTATAAGAAAAATTAAAATACATAAATTTCTGCAAATTAGAGACTTCAATAAATTCAAATAATAAAAAATAACAAAATATGCATAATAAAAAAAACTTACTTTAATTGTTCTTGCAAATAGAGATGAAAAAGACGCTAAAATTTATATATAAAAAAAATTAGAAAGCAGAACCAATTTTCAGTTTAAAAAAAAATAATAATAACCACCAATACAAAGATTTACAATAGTGCTTGCAAGTAATACATTCTGAACGTGAAACTGCAGATAGAGTATGGTTACATATAACATAGTAGCTGCATACCATGCATAAACACAATAAATTTTAATGATTAACTGCTTGAAATAATATGTTACCAACATTAAATAAAACAATGATAAAGTGTACTGTATGCTATATTTTATATTTATAATTTCTCTCCTGTGTATGAAAACAAAACTTATTTTCAGCCTAATTCTGAAAAAACAAGCAATGAAAAATTAATGTACAGTCAAAAGTCGTTAATCCAGAATCGTCGGGACTTCGGCGATTCCAGATTATAGATCATCAGTTAAATCGGTAGATGGCATGCAGAAATTAAAATTAAAAATATGAAACCGTAATTTAAAAAAAGAACGTTTATGATTAAAGGGTATCAAATTACAAAAAAAAAAAAAAAAAAAAGCTTATATTTATTTGTTTAACTTTATTAAAACATTTCTTTCAATGTAAGTTATTTAGTTGCTTTGTTTTTTATGTAATACATTCTTAATTCTTAAACAAACATAATTTCTTGTTCAGTTCAAGTTTCCGCTGTTCAAGTCCTTATAATTGCTGTGTCGAGAATACGACTAATTGTCAAGGAAATTTTTTCGTTTCAATAACCTCTGTCACTTTCTTCGCTATTGGAAGTGAATTATAATGAAATGAGGAATTGATTTAAATCATATCAAAGATGAGGGAGTACATCGAGATGAAATACTACATTTAATAAAATTATAAGCCAAATTAAATAAAAAACATCTGCCCTAAGATAAGATAGGCTTGACAGATCAACTTTCCAATTCATTGCGCCAGCGCCGCGTTAAAGATAAAAAAAACAAAGGATATGCCTTTTTTTCATTTTTTGTAGCAACATTCACTTTTTGTTAATGAACTTCGAAACATACTTTTTCGCTTTGTAGATTCTTTACATATTATAAATATATATCAAAATTTATTTGACATAAATCGAAAGTTCAAGCTTTACTTTTATAAAATTGCTCTAACAGTCTGCAAAAAATAATAAGCCTGATCCAATTCGAAGATTAAGGAACAACGCAATCCTGCAACATTAACTGAAATAGATAATTAAATTTTAGCTTAGCTTATACCGCCCGTTATGCATTAAACGCCACTCGGAACGTATTTTTGCGGATGCTCACAAGCATATTCTCAGCCGTAAGCCCTACGCGCATGCACAAAGCGACACATGCACAGAAAGTTTGTAGCTTTGAGGTCCGGATTATAATCATCCGGATTATGGGTGTCCGAATTAACGACTTTTGACTGTACCTACACTGCACAGTATCATGTCTAATTTCAAGGAATGAAACACTTATGAGAACCATGCATGTAAATTTATGTTCATGGTCAGGACTGTCATGGGACTTAATTATTTAATGGTAGAAAAGCACAATAGTTCTTTACGTGGATTCTATCGTGAAAGACATTTTACTAATATAGTTTGTACTTACATTACACGAGAATGAGAAAAATACCTATACTTCACAGTATTATGCTCAGTTTCAAGGAATGATAGAGCAATAAAAATTATGGGTACTTGTCAGTTATACCAGCCATGGAAAGGAACAGGAATTGGCACATTTTTAGCCTTGTCTAAAAACACACAGTTACCTATACACACAACCAATTCATTTAACATCTTAAGTGGCCAGTTTATTTACTTTACATATATAGAAGCAATTTAATACAATTTGTACTTTTTTTAAATTTAATACAATTCTGCAAGCAAATTATTTAAAATGAATAATATATAAAAACAAACATAAAGAAAGATATTGCTACAAGACAATTTCTTTCCAATTTATTCTGACATTTTTCACAAATTCCTTTGATAAGAAATTATTTCTCTCTGTATTGGAAAAATATCTATAGCATATTTTTCCATCAATGGATGACTGAAAATACTTAATACTTTTTTCCTTTTTTGACTAATTTTTATTGTCTAAAAATTGAGAAGAGAAAATTATACAAGTAATTTAATTTTTAAAGAAAGTAGTTACAGTAGGAACATACCAAATGAAAAGAAAAGTAATCATGGATAAACTACTGGTAACTACCACACTATTATTTCTTTAAAAGAAATCTACCTTTCATGAGAATGCACAATAATATTAATATTGCAATACCTGATGGATATCTGATGGTAATTGAGCTTAATTACCTTGTAAAGCCCTTGTCAATTATCTTGTACAGATTGTTACTCTTAAGATTTGTCTCACATTAATGAGTCTTGACTGCAGCTCCAAACAGGGATATTGAAGAAACAAAAGAGTAAGGGGTGAACAAAAGGCCCGGACGTCAAAAGATCAGACAAATTAGCAGTAGATAAGGCTATGAGCTAGAACATAAATAACATAAGTAAGGTGAAATCACCTGTTTAGAAAGTTTCTTAAATGCGAGAGCACCTGTCAACATCCAAGTAGCTTAACAAAAAATCTGCATAAAATACATTCCAAATAATAAATTTAAGGAAAAATAAAATGGATGAAATGCTAATACAAAAATACAGAAACAAACTGAATATGCTGAATAAAAATAATCAAGGGAATGTAATTTACCAATAAACTATAGCCTTCAGAGAGAAAAACTATGTGCAACAGAGGATAGGGAGAATTACGCAAATATTTCTCTTTAATTTTCAAAACCTAGTGCTAAAAAAAGCAATGAAGGAAAATATGCAAGGAAATACAATACTATGAATTTGCTCTTTTAAATCTGCTCAAACATTAATACTGCAGAAGTAAAAATATTTTTTTTTAAAAAAAAAAAAAATTTAAACTTGCAGAAAGTTGTAGTCAAAAGGCAACAGCTGTTTACCCCACATTACAGCACTGGTATCCTCACCTACTATCAACTAGCGTTATTTAAGTATTAACACAACCACCTTAGTAGACGTCACCAAATTTTCGGAATGTAATAAAATATGGCCAATCATGTGCATAACCATTCTTTCAGCAACCGTCCTCATAACAATTCTTCAATCAAGCAACACCATCATTTTTGCATGTGTTCTTTTGTCCTGTGTTTCAAGTTCCAACAGTTTTTATAACTAAATCACGATGTTTTTTGGCCTTAAGCTTAGTTTTAAAATATGAGTTTGTGGAATTTTCCAGCAATGGAAGAAACTGCAGTAAAATTTTTACAAGAATGCAGAATTTTGGTGAAAATTTTCTAAAGGGAACACCAAGGAAATGCATTTCCTCGACAGCAGCTGTTGCCAAAGGTTGTACAAAGCCCAAAATAAAGCACTCTCATTCTCAAAAACAGTCTCTGTAGTTCTCTGGTGTATTTTTAAGCAAAAACAGATTGCTATGAGCTTCGGAAGAAAAATAACACAAAAAAGTTACAGAAAGATTTGAAGAATGAGAGTGCTTTATTTTTTAATGTATCAATTAATCCTCATTTAATAATTCAAATTTGTATTTTAAATTGCTAAAGTAAGTTTTCTTTTCATATGTTTGATAATGTTTAATGACTTATGATAAATATTGATAGTTTGAGAATCTGTCTAAAAAATGGGACAAAACCACCAGCTTGCATCTAATAAGCAACTTTTACTCTTTCATCTGTAAAAAAATGCCAAATGGCACCAAGGTGACTGCGTTAATATTAAAGCACCCAACTAACAACTGTATACATACATATAAAACATTTAATGTGTGCAATTCTTTGATGCTTCTTTAAGCATTGCTGTATGCATCAGGAATATGAGTGACAGGAATGGCAAGAACACCTGGTAATTATGTATTAATGCAATTGCCAGATTACTTTTTACAGATGGAAAGGTAAAAGTTACTTATAGGGTACAAGCTGGTAGTTCTTTTAAGAGAGATTCCCAAACTATCGGCATTTATCGTAAGTCAGTAAACATTATCAACATACGAAAATAAAACATATTTTAGCAACTTAAAATACAGATTTTAATTATTAAATAAAGATTACATGGCACAGTAACAGTAAAAAAAATAATAATAAAACACATTTTTCTTCAGATCTTTCTGTAACTTTTTTGTGCCATTTTTTCCCCAAAGTACACAGCAATGAGCTTTCACTTAAAAAAATCAGAGAACTGTGGAAACTCAACTTTGTGCAACACTTGGCAACAGTGGCTATTGAGGAAACTTATTTCCTTGCAATTCTCTTTGAAAATTTTCAGCAAAATCCTGTGTTCTTTCAGAAATTTCACTGCAGTTTCTTCCATTGATGGCAAATTCCACTAGCTCATATTTTAAAACTAAGTTTAGGACCAAAAATATCATGATCTGTTCATAAAAACTGTGAAACTTGGAAAAACAACAAAACACAACCAAAAAAAAAAAAAAAAAAAAAAAAAAAAAAAAAAAAAAAAAAGAATGCATATGAAAATGATGGCATTGCTACTGAAACTGTTATGAGAATGGTTGTGCACATGCCCCCAGTTTTGGCAATTTTGGAAATTTTTGGTTGGTTCTACTAAGGTGGTTGCCATTAATAGGTAAGTACCAAACACATAATTACAAAATAGCAGAAATGGCCAACAGTGCCATTAGAAATCGATTTTACAAAATAAAATATCTTAATAACTCCATCTCTAAATCTAAAACTAACTGGGAAGGATAGCTGAAGCCAAAATCATCAAATTCATGTCCACTTTTAGCAGTAGCTTCTTCAACCTATAATTCAAAAGAAATTAACAGATTAAAGATTAAAATATAGATAATACTTTTTAAATCCTTTTACATATAATCAAGTTAAAATACAGTGAAATGCCTTTAACATAAACACTTATAATTGCAGATAATTTTTGGTCCTCTGTGGTTGTTATTTGCACAAGAGATGCACTATACAGATATTTATGTTTATGATATGTATGTTATTAATCATTATAGAGGTAGTTATCAGGAGAGATTCCCCGGTATTTTATAAGTAATGAGTTTTTGAAAGCAATTAGTTATTGATCACTGCCAAGTTATTGTTACACTGTTGACAGTCACTGACTGCAAAGACTACAAATAAACAAGGCAGCTAAAAAAGAGGGGGTCCAGACGTATAATACTGCAGGGGGAGAAAAAGAACAGCATTCAGACAAACTTTACTACATTTTATAATCAAAGCATTAAAAAAAGAAAAAGAAAAAAGAAATTATATTTCTAACTATGCCTCAAATATTAAATGCATAGTATTAATAATATAATTTTGCTTCTTTTAATTAAATTAAAAAGTAAATGTCTTAGTTACAAAAAAAATTATTGTTCCTTGATAAAAACCTTACTTCTGATATTAAACCCAGTTTTGGGAATAGGCAATGAGAAAAATAAGAAAATTCGTATCTTTTTAGTCAGTAAGCATACAGTTACAAAGTGCATCTACATTAAAACAGTCAGCACATTAAGTAGCCAAAACTGGGAAACTTATTCATGCAATATCTAATATGCAAATTCTAAATGTCACTAATATGCATTTGGCAATTAAAACACAGACAACTCTGAAACTTGGCAATAAAAAAATTATTTGTCTAACTTTATAGCTTAGAGGTAATGTTCTGTTCATAAATAACCACAAAAAGAAGCATGTTATAAGAAAGAAGAAATTTTATGATAAAAAAAAAAAAAACAAAAAATCTACATGGTTGATATTCATTTAGCCATTCTGTGAAATGACTGTTCAATATAAAAATCCATACACATTATACATATATGTAAATCCATACATATTGAAGTATGCATGCTGCATTTACATGTGTGGATTGATTATTGTCGCATGTGTACTGGAAAATACTCCAAAACACAACATAAGAATGTTGTATCCGAGTATGAGGCTAATCAGAAAGTTTTCCTAAATCTCATTATAATTTTTTTCTACATATAATCTTTTTCTTTTAAAATAAACTCCCACAACCTATTTTTCTTGATGGAAAAACTTGTTGCTTTACCCATAATGAACACAATGCTGCTTTCCTGCTTTTATTTAAAATCATACGTTACGAGGTAAAAAGAATTAAGGGTACTTCTTTTTTATAGTGGCGCCCAAGATTGAATCACCAATCAACCAAGTTATCTTGCCAAAATCTGGATGTGTGTTCTCATACCTTACCACATGATTGTATATTAACACTGGCTGCATGTTCTCATGCCTTACCACGTGATTGTATACAGTTAAAAGTCGTCAATTCGGACGCCCATAATCAGGAATGATCTATAATCCGGACCTCAAAGCTACAAACATTCTGCCCATACCTTTACGCATGCCCATATGCGTGCACGCATGCGCATAATACGTTTATGCATGCGCGTTTTTAATGTATAACGGACGGTATAAGCTAAGCTAAAATTATCTCATTATCTCAGTAATGTTGCAGATTGTGTTGTTCCTTAATCTTCGAATTGGATCCGGCTTATTATTTTTTGCAGACTGTTAGAGCAATTTTATAAAAGTAAGTTTGAACTTTCGATTACGTCAAAAAGAATTTCCGATTCTGGAGCTGCCAAAGGATATCTACAAAGCAAAAGCACGTTTCGATGTCCATCAAACAAAAAGTGGAATTGCTGCAAAAAATGGATAAAGGCATATCCTTTGTTTCTCTAACCATTCCGAAATCTGTTTATCAATTTCACGCTGCTCTGCGGGGGAGGGGAATGTCGCGGCGCGCAATGAACTGGAAGTTGATCTGTCAGCACTATCCTTATCTTCAGGGCAGATGTTTTTATTTGATTCAGCTTATAATTCATTACTAAATGTAGTATTTTCATCTCGATGTAGTCTGCCTTTGATATGATTTAAATCAAATTCATTATAAATATCACGAATACACATCAAATAGTTTTCTGGTTGCAATTTTCTATTTTCTAATTTCGACTATGCGTAATGTATGCAGACGCATGCGCGCATTGAAAGAAATGTTTAATAAAGTAAACAAATAAATATTAAGCGTTTTTTTTTTTTTTTTTTTTTTTTTTTTTTTTTTTTTTTTTTTTTTTTGTAAATTTTGATACCCTTTAGATCATCATAATTGTTCTTTATTTCATAAATTACGGTTTCATATTTTTAATTTTTATAATTTCTGCATGCCATCTTACCAGATTTAAACTGATGATCGATAAAACCAGAATTGCCAAAGTCCTGACGATTCCAGATTAAAAACTTTTGACTGTATTAACACTGGCTGAATGCTCTCTCATACCTTCCCACCTGATTGTACATTAACACTGGCTGCATGTTCTCATACCTTACCACGTTATTGTATATTAACACTGGCTGCATGTTCTTGTATCCCACTGCGTAATCATATATTAGGACCCTGCTGCTCTTGTCGCATGTTCTTATATTATTAATTTTAATGAGGTTTTTGAATTTGCACCGTTTGTTTGAAAAAAATATTTAGTGCTTTTTTTTTTTTTTCTTTTCTTTTGGTGTGTGTGAATATGATGTTCGCAATCTTTAATTTACCAAATAATGAGATGGATTCAATATCATTTTTTCAAGAAAGAGGTCTTTTATTTGACAAAAAAGTATATGAAAATTGGCCACTACATGAAATTTCATGTTAACAATAAAACCCTTTTCCAACTGCAGTGTTAAAAATTGAAAAAGGAAGAAGGACCTCCATGTCGAAAATTGGTTCAGTGGTTCCAGAATATCATTCATCACTGCTATTAGATTTATACTATATTCTTCAGCAGAGGAACTCATGTCCATGAAATGGTGTAACAAACAGCGCTTAATATGTGTAAAGTACTGCAGTTGACTGGAACAATTATACGAGATAAAATAATAATAAGGATAAAGATTCTTAAAATATATTCTTAGGAAAAGACATACGAGTATTATTGTTGTTATTTTTTTTACATAATGTGTTTATTTTTACACAGTCGTGCTTTACAAGCTTAGCAAAATTACAGCTGAGATCTTGGCACAAATCTAAAATTGTCAAATATGGTTGGGGGACCAACGTATTTGGCAAAGAAGTACTGAATTAAGATGTTAGTTTAAACTCTTTCAAATAAGTCAACCTACAATCAGTAACATAAAAGGCCTGAATCAGAAAATATTAGAACAACTAATTTCATGTCAATATTGTTGGCAAATAGAAGTAAAAAACTGTTTATTTCAAATACCAAAAATATATCTAATATTAGCGATTTTATGCATTTAATTAGAATGCATAAATAACGTAGCCTATAAAGCTGAAAATGGAATACTCTTTCATTTACCATGATTTCTGGAAGAAAGGCCGCATCAGCGTAAATGCCACGCTCGAGAAAAATGACGGGAAAAAAATTTAAATTACGCAGAAATGTCGCATCAGAGTAAACACTGCAATAGATTAAATCACACATGACATCGTCGTGGACCTTACAGATGCAAAATCTTGACCTATGTCCTGATATATGACATATCAGTTAAGAAATATGCATGACATGAAACTCAAAAATAAATTAAAGGTAAGAAATGTTGGAAATATATTTATGTTCACGAATATACTTATGTTTACCCACTAAAGAAGTCTATATTTATCATACTCATTATAAAAAATGTTGCGACAATGAGATTTGGATGACAAAAGAAAATTTTAAATTTTACTTACAAAGGAATTTTAGCAAACTGTACTTTAAATGAAGCCATCAAAATCTGATTCTTCACTATCCAAATTAAAAAGATTTAGTAAATCCTGATCTATGTCTTCCAGATCGTCACATTCATCCTCTTAATTTACAGTCTCTTTATCTGAGGATATAATTTCAACTTCTTTGAATGCTACTATTATTGACGATGTTTTTTTCACTAATTTCCACGCATTTCCTACCCCCTTTGCAACTTCTTCAAAAGATGCTCTACGCATTTTGCTACTTTTGGTTATACGTATGCAATCCTTAACTCATCCAACACTCCCACCGCTTTCGGACTTCAGCTTTGTACCTGAAAAATCTAATGGTTGTAAGATATTTGTCAAACTACCAGGAATTATTACTGCGATCGTAGACAGTTTTTGACATCTGGTTTTCAGTGACTCAAGTAAATGAGCATGCATGGAATCTATTATCAATAACCCTTTTGGTTGGAAAAAAGATCCCTTACGACACTGCCAAACTTTTCATAACCACTGATGCATGACTGTTTCGCACATCCATCCATTCTCGTTTGCACGATTAATTACATCAATCTTCAGAATAGTTTCTCCCTTCAGAATAGTTTTTTTTTTTTTTTTTTTTTTTTTTTTTTTTTTTTTTTTTTTTTTTTTTCAATTATCATCGACTTTAGCTTGTCACCATTTGCAGCACAAGCTAAGAAGACACATGTAAATGACTTTCTTGCATGCCCTGTCATAAGCAAAGATACAGTTTTGCACCAGTTTCATCAACACTTCTGTTTGCAGAAGAGTCGAAAGCTAACGGCGTTAATCATCTAACATTTTTTTCATCCATATTTATTATCTGCGACGACCGAGAAGTTTTTTTTTTTTTTTTTTTTTTTCTGTCAATAATATCTGTCACATATCTTAGAAAAGATGCCTTTTTATCCTGCCAGTCCATTGGTAATTCTTGCCAGACTGTTGTTCTAGTATGCACAGAAATTTTTTTTTTTTTTTTTTTCATAAATCTGCTACACCAGCAAGGCCCTCCTTTGAAATCATTTATGTTCATTTGTTATGCCATAAATTGTGCTTACAAGTGAATTTTTACAGTTGAAATCAACAGTTCCCTTTCCTTGTTGCTCTTTTATCCAGTTTGTAAGGTCATCCTCTAGATTCAGCCACCTTACAGTACCACTTCTTTTGGCTCTTTTCTGTTTAAGAATATTTTTAAGGTCTTTTTCAGTTTTTTTTTTCCATCGCCGAATGCATCTCTCATCCACTCCACATTCTCGAGCTGCTGTTCTATCTTTAATTTGTTCAGCCCGTGAAATTACATTAAGCTTAAAAAAAACCAGCAGTATAGCTTCTGTGCTGTTTAGGTGGCATTTTCAAAAATATTCCACTTCCTTCTTACTTAAAAACTATTCAACAAGTACTTATATCCAAACTAATCTGTATCGGGCAGAATGCCAAGAAAAATCAATTTGTGCTGGAAAGAAAATAACGTCAGAATTCGTTATTGCAACGCAGGTGGTGTCCGCCTTTGAAAAAATAGCAGTAGATTTACAATAGAAAAGGCAGGGGTGGGGAGAGGATGCATTCTGGAAGATTCATTGAATGGCAGAGAAGAGAGTCTATTCAAACTGATGAGAATGCTGATTTGAAAGAGGGAAGAATGTTATTGTTTTGAGGTCCGTTCAAGGGAAAGAATGTAAACAAAATAAAGTTCGCAGAAAGCAAATGAGTGGTCTTTTGTGTAGGAACAACACCACCTATCTACGTACAATGACAAGGTCATATAAACTATGTACAATAACAAAGTCATTCAAACTATGCACAATGACATCATAGGAAATATCTTTTTTTAGTGCACATGTGTGCACTGCATGTGTAGAAACTCTACACCCGCTGACAATTTAAGTTTTAAACATGTAAACGCCGCGGGTTTCTTCCAGAAATTACAGTAATAATTTCTGAACCTCTGCAACAGTAATGAGGGAAACAGAGTATCTAGAAATTTCAAGTTGTCATTTTTCCATGCAAACAACAATTAGATATTAAAGGTTCAAACACTTCAAAAAAATTATGAAATTTGATTATATTTCACTAGGGCATGAAATTTTACACCTTAAAGTCTACTAGAAATATTTATCTATAAGACAAAAATAGTTATATGTATAAAACATTTTTCACACTATCATATAACATAACAACTCATAATATATTAGTAACAAATACCTTTGCTACCATGTTATCGCATGATTCTTGCAGAATTCCAAGACATGCAGCACATGGTAAAAAATGATGTTTTTTATGAGGAGGGCAAATCTCTTCCTCTGAAGCATTTAAGTCTTCTGTTTCATGTTTGGCAGCAGAAAGTTCACATGCCTTATCATCCAACAATTGCTGGAAAGCCTAAAATGTAAAATGACAGAACATATGAAGGTACTTACATATTAACGACATTGCATTTACAATTAATGCCACTGCAGCAGAAATTGCGCTGATGCGCCAATAAAGAGCAATCCTGTTTTTCACATGCAGTTATCTTTTGGATTCCTTTTTTGCCTTGTGGTTTGCTGAGTTTTGATGCCATTTTTAGTGCTACAAAAATGCATCTTTGAGATTTACCAAACACAGAAGAAGATGCAATTTTATTTTTTTAGGAGCGAAATATTTTACCAAAAAAACGAAAATGTACCAATTTGCTTGATATGAAACTTTATTTAAATAAAGTGTTTCGATTTTAAATAGTGTTTTAATTTATGATTTGTCGCAAAAATTTTAGATGAAGATTGGCAGCACTTAAAAACTGAGCAATTTGCAGTTGTGGTGGCGTTAATACAATGAAACAATATAATAAACTCATATGAGAAAACTTGTATAATAATTTTCATTATCAATACATAATATTCATAATGAAAATTATTATGCAAGTCATTAGGATAACCCAAAGCAAAATAAACTAACATAATATCTGTATTATGAAATTCTTACTTTGCATACTTTAAAATATTTTATGGCTACAGTAAAGAGAAGGGTAGCCCTTGTATTATCGCAAAGTTGTTATTTCATTTATCGCCGAGTTGTTGCTTCATTTATCGCCAAGTGGTGATTTATTTATGGCAGCCTGAGTAGTTGAATATTATAGAAACCCTATTATGACGTAATCAGTTGCATGATTGCAGTGAACTTGTAAGGGCTTGCTGTGTATGTTAGCTAGGAAGTACAATGCTTGTTTTCTGGTTTAGACGGTACAATGGCTGAATGTGGTAAGATTAATTTGAAGTTTCTGTACCATTTGGAAAGAAATGGGAAAAGAGTATTACTTAACTGGTGTGTAAATGAAGGTTTACTTAGTAGCCATTACTAAGCATCCTGCTTGTAGGAAGGAAATGTGCATGGTCGGACAATACGATGCTACGGAGGATATTTTTACTCTTATTTTGTGAACTTATGTGGTGATGCCAGTATAACAGATTCTAGTTCAGATCATTTTAGGGAAGTTTTTGGATGTTGTTAAGGAATTTTGTTTGACTGAAGACGTGTGTTTATTCGTAAATAAGGCAAGTGTATATTTTTTTGTTGTAGTGCAAAGATGAATTTTCCTTTTTTATGTTATTTCATTGTTTGATTTAAAATGTAGTTTATTGAGATTATATATATTTTTTTGGTTGGTCTTTCTTTGACTTTTTAAGTGACTGTAGTTCGATGTGTGCATGGACAAAGGGAGTGAGCAATGCCTAGTTTGTGAAATTCTCAGATGTTTTTTTTAAGTGAAAATAGGTCGACGTGTAGATGAAGTCAAACTGCAATGCCAATTTGTGCGATTCTGACTTTTTTTTTTTTTTTTTTTTTAAGTGAAAATATGTCGATAAGTACATGGATACAGAGTTTGTGCAATTCTTTGTCTTGTTATTTTGACTTTCTGTAGCAACAAATTTTGGCACAAAAATTGCCACTACAAATCCAAAATAACAAGCCAAAGAATTACACAGAGTCGGTATCCATGTACTGCCAAAAGTCAATAGATACCCATAAATATACTTTAACCTATTTTATTCTCAAGTCAAAATTTTTCAAAATGATTCAAAAAATAATAATAGTAAGTTTCTACATAATATGACATAAAACTGCTATTTATTTTACTAATTTTCGTAAAATTTGAAAGGAAAGATGCCAAAATAAAATTTTAAATTGGGCAAAAAACAGACTCAGATTTGCGTAATAATTCCAATCCATTTTAAAAATTGCTTATTCCACATATTACTAATTGTATTAGATTTCATGCTCTCTTCAATGTTTACAAATTTTTAATTCCATTTTACATTAGAAGGAAAAATTAAAGGAAAAACTATAAAAAGGTATGACTTTAGTACAAATTCAGCTGTTTTTAATAAAATCAAAAAGTTGGGACATACAGTGGCTCACAAATATGATTCAGATTTTTTGTATTCTTTAATGAACATAAAAACTAAAATAAATTGGTACTCTTCTGTTTTGAGGGCCTTAACAAAATTGCAGCGAAAATGTATGTGCCAAATCTACCAAACGCGCCCATTTAACAGTGCGCCAAATCTAACGTACGCTCTGGTTTCAGATTGCGTAAGTTTATATAGTTCTATATTTCTTAAGACACCATTGAAATACTAGTTTAATTTTTTAAATCCTTTTTTGATATCCTATGGATTTAACAATTTTGGGAATTGCCCATGATGAAAAGTCAGCAATAGAATTTTGGGTAAAGTGCAGATTCACTCACTGCTTGATGCATTTTTAAGAATTACACATACTCGGTATTCATGTGCACATCAATCTGAAGTTAAGGATGATTCACTTCTAAGTCTAAAATATTTGACTACTTAAGTTTGGTTAAAAATAGGTCATTTTCGCCCCCATTTAAGAAATGCGCGGAAGACTGAATGAGTTTTTAAGAAAAGGGATTCATGTCTTCCAAAAGCCAGACCTTGGTCTATCATGATCAGAATACAAACTGCTCCGATTAACAAAAAGAAAACATTTGCATCACCAAAATTATGCAATGAAATTTACTACAAACAAACAGGTATTTATCCAACGTTCATAATGTGAAATAACAGAATAAAAACAATTATACTCTTCGGATTGATTTCTAAAATATACTCATCCACTACATATGTACAAATGAATCAGGAGAAAAAATAAAGTACTTTTTCAATGCTTGATTTTGTTATATAGCTCGTGTATTCTTTCATTCCAAAAAACCTTAAAATACATCGATTACAGACATTAAAAGACTCCAAACATTCTTTAATAGCTTGAAAATCAGAAGTTTTCACCATTGTAATTTTCTTATATAACTAATTTTTAAATATTATTCAAATACTCTGTTTCCGAAATCATATCACTTTTCACATATTTAAATTCTCAAATCCCATCAATAGCATGATTCCCTTAATAATTTTGAAAACATTCGCTCTCGTTCCATGTTGCCAAAGAATCTACAAATTCTTTGATGCTGCTGAAGAACTTCTACATTTTTTTATGTTTGCATCCCAATCAATTAAATGGAAATCCTTCATGGCCCCTGAAAATTTCTCACTCATCATGAATACGAATTGTCCCATAAGAGGTAAGGGAACAAAAAATAAAAAAAATAAAAAAATCTTAAAAAGTTCAAATTTAAAGTAGCCTCAAAGTTTTTTTTTTCCTTTTTTTCAAATTTTTATATGCTTTCACTAAAGTCACAGCTGACGTGCAGCTGATCCATCACTCCGTTCCTGAACCCGCTCACCAGCGGCCGAGCGGTAAAGTCGCTGAACACTGGTAGTTCGGTCCGAGGTTCGAATCCCGCGAACGAGCTGGCTGCATGGGTGTTTTCGTGGACCATGTGTCCGTGTCCCCATGTGTAACGTGTATACGAGCCAATTTCCCTTAGAAAGTCCTCCACGAAGGCATCCCTCCCCTTAGGCAGATAGCCCTAGTGTGCTTTGTCATAATTAAATACACCATACACCGTTCCTGAACCCACTCAAGGAGGTTAGAATAACAAGGAGAAGGTCTACTGCCTTAGGTGACCTGAGTCACGTGGTCAAGCCCCTGGGCGTATGCCCCATCCTGAACAGAACCGCTTTAGCAGAAGAGCATAACGTAGAATTATGGCTAACATGATAGTGCGGAAAAGAGGGGCCATGAAGTTATCCAGACGAAAATATACATTCAGAGTAAAGTTTGGTAGAACAATTATAACATTTCATATGATGAGCATGTGAAATACGATAAGCAATTAAGGAATGAAGCAGCAACTAGAAAAGTGAAGAACATTGAAGAGCGTGACGGAAGTCTAACATCTTGTAACGTGTCCAGCGCTAGACTTAAGGGCAAAAATTTGTAGAGGGTGTAAACAGTAGTCAGGGGGCGTGGCGATTCAGTCATGTGCAGTCGAAGAAGTTCATGAGAGTCTAAAGAGAGTAGAATATTAACAAGCATGAGCATGGGTTGGGGAGGAGCTTATAAAGATATCATACACTTTTGAATAAATTCGCCGAAAGAGAGTAATTTAGCAACAACAAAAACAAATTAAGATTGTAATTAGAATAAAGATTAATATGTAATAAAAATACTACCTAAGGTGAAGTATTACTGCTCCGAGGCATTTCTCTTGAGAACATCTGTAGTATCACAGTCCACGAATGGGATAGATTCATTGTTAGTAAGACTAATCTTAATGAGAAATTTTTTAGTTATTCTTGCTGTGAATGCACTGATGATACTCTCATTCATTAGAATAATCTCCAAATTTTTATTACATCTTTTTCTCACATGTAAACTATTTTTACAGTTACTTGCAAGTAACTTATTATTAATAAAGTAACAGTGTAATTAGGAAAGTAATCTTTTCGAATAGGCGTACAGCCTCGTACCCAGGTACCCTAGTGTGTACTCCACTCTACTAGTGGAAACACTTTGTTCATAGTGAATAGCAGAGATTCTAATAAACCACCTGCTTTTGGTTATTTGTTTCAATGTGACATTCTGAAGCGCTATATTCTGTTAAATTGAGTGTTACTAAAAAAAACCCTAATGGGACAAACATACGTGATAATGAGACGCAACATGGGCTTATGCAGGAGTAACTTACTATCAAGAGAGAGAACGGAGTTTCGAGAAATTAAGGGAAAGTGTGAAATTTTAGAAGACAGAAACTTGTTAATATTATGTGCAATGTGAAAGATCCTTGAAAAGGTATTTTACTTGCATGGTCCACGGAATAATTGTACTGTACATACTAATGCTCCCATTATATTTTTTCCAGGGAAGAGAACTGCTTCAGACTTTTCTGCATTGATTTTTATTTTCCATTTGATGAGCCAGGACACCAGTGTATGTATATGTTCTTGTAGTGACTGTGTGAGAGACGTATTTATGCTAGGATCGCAGTATCGTCTGTATACATGGCTAGTGTAGTGTTAGGTGATGGTGGGATATCGTTTGCATAAAGTGAAAAGAGGACAATGCCAAAGAGCTACCTTGTGGACACCCCGCAAGCATTTTCCTGCATGTAGAATATGCGTTGTTATAAAAGAATGGCGAAGTATCTATCGTAAAGATGGGAATTAATGGCGTTAATGTTGTTGTAGAGATATTAGGTATTTTCAGAAGGAGGAATGGTGAAAAATTAACAAAGCCTTCCCTGGGAATCAAACCGCGGACTTCTGGAATACCGGCCCAGTGTGCAGACCACCACACAACGAAGGCTCGCCAAGAAGGTGGGAGAACTACCTTATATATTAACCCCCTTTAAAAGGGCGACTTGAGTTTTTAGGAGACCCAGTCGCCAAATTTTGGGTGAGGAGAATCATCATCCAACACCATTTTAGTTCGGGGCGGGCGCCACTGTAGAGACATCAGGTATTTTTTCGGAACAGAAAAGATGAAAAATTAGCAACGTCTTCACCGGGAATCGAACTGCGGACTTTTGAAATACCACGCTGAGCGTGCAGACCACTACACCACGAAGGCATGCCAAGAAGACGGGAGAAGTACCTTATATCGTGATCTGATAACCCTAGAATAATGATTTGTAGGTAAGCCCCTGCAGGCATTCCAAGGCTTTCGCTATATCGAGAAAGAGTGCTCCAGTGGTTTCATGATTTCGAAATCCTTGTGCAATAAATTCCGTCACCCTGTAAATTTGGTGGGTCATAGAGTGATTCTTTCTGAACGCATGCTGCTGTGGGATAAGGATTTTGTTCTCATTTATGAAGTTATTGACACTATGGAGTATAACTGCTTCAGCAATTTTGCTAAGAGTGGATAGTAAGCTAATCAGATGATATTCAGCCGCGTCAGCTGAGTTCTTTCCAGTCTTCGAGATCGGGGAAATGATGACAGTCTTGCATTTTGTTGGGGAAGGTTGAAGCTCGATCATAAGGTTGATAATTTTAGTGAATTTACAAATCATCTTCCCTCTCATTTCCTGGATCATCTTGTTACTGACTTGATCCAGTACCGGACTTCTGTGGTTTTTCCTCTTTTGGATGTATCTAATCATATTTGAGAGCGTGACTACAGGTATGTTGTTTGTATGTGTTCTTGAGAAGAATTATGTATTGAGTATTGAGTATGTATTATGTATTGAGTAATGACAATGTGTGTTCTGTTTGAGGGTGTGGGATATGTTGTGAGTGCAAAATTGAGATGCATAATGATCTGCTAAAAGCTCAGCTTTTCCAATTTCGGTGTAGGCGATCCCGTTAGGGCTATTAAATGACGGAATATTTGTATTGCCTTTTTTATACTTAGGAACAACATTTCTGAAAGAACTACAATCCGCTGAAAGTGACTCGAAGTATCCGGTCCAGTGCAGTTGTGCTTGTTCTTTTATAAAGGTCCTGACCTCATGACTGAGCCTGTTTATAATTCTTTTGTCTTGCGGGCAACGTGATGATCTTTATCAGGTTTTCCAAGCATGGCTTCTTTTTTTAATCGGTTCTGTTACTGCAGGACTTTTATATCATTTTTCTTCTGCAACTTCCTTGCTGTTTTTGATGAGTGCAGAGTGTAATGAATTCGTAAATTCTTTAGTCAATTCGTCTAACTCATTCCTCGTACATATGTGGATAAAGTGTTTTGCGTGTTGTCTAGAGCTTTGGTATACCCTGTCTTGTTAGTGATAAGGACTCTTCTGTGTGCTGTACTGTAGTTGTTAATGCTGGTCTCCGCCAAAACCGGATTGTGATCCGAAGGACGTTCATTCTTGCTCTCGATATGAGTCGGAGTGTTAATATTTTTTTAAAAGAAAGAAATCAATAACGGTGGGCCTGCCTACCCTTACTGCGTGTTGGTTTATTCGGAGTAGTGTTGAGAAGTGCATGTAAATCAGGATACACGCCTACTACTGGTTTTTATCGTTTGGTATATAGGTGGAGATGAAACTGAACCGGTCGAGATGTGTTGGATGGGGTTGTGATGCTAAGGCTTCCACAGCTGAGAGCCATGGAAGTTTTGTGAGATAAAGAGAAATGGTGTTGTTGACTAGCGTAAGGAGTCCATCTCTGACATTTCAACCAAGTGAGGAGGTCTATTCTAACTTTCGTTGGTATTCATTCCTGTTTATGGAAGTAGGAAACAAAGGAAAGGTCCGAACTGGTTTTCCCACACTGCCTTGAAGCAGTGACGCATCCTTCCTGGTGACTAAAACATTTAGTGACTTGTCATTAAGATCAATAGATTTTGACATGATCAGAGATAAACATTTCGTAATTAAATCGTAAATATACGTATAAATGCATATCTTTTTTGTTTTTCTACAATATTTAGAGCCCTAAGTATGTGAAAGAACACATTTTTAAACATTTCAACATTTCATTCTGAACGCAATTAAACGCTTTTTTTTTTTTTTTTTTTTTTTTTTTTAAGAGCATTTTGCTCGGAACAGTTTTAATTTGAAGGAAATATTTTCACAAGTTTTCGCTAATTATATTAGGAAGAATTTTAGGGTAATTCGATTTTATTCGGTTAATGATTACAAATATTAATATCAAAGTGTATCGTATTATTAATATTAAAATCACGCATTATTTCTTTCTACAGTGCTTCTTTCTAAAATACTTTCTCAAATATGAGATAATTTTCAGCTTCTGAGGCATCTTTTAAATCAAAAATCTAATATAGTCAGTCTATAATTAATGCTATGTTCGATTCATTCCAGATTGGAGCACCTTTTATTTTAACAGTTAAATACATTAAATATTGCTCTAGATTTCTGATTTCCATGTAGAGTGGAACGAATCAATTGAAACGGACCCCATTCGGATAATAAAAAATTCGGATAATTAGATTTTTTCCGAAGAAAGAGTCTACGTGCATTTTAATTAATAACTGTATAAGGTATTTCTCCCCTCCTTCTTGGCATGCCTTCGTAGTGTAGTGGACAGCACGCTGGGCGCGTATTTCAGAGGTACGTTGTTCGATTCCCGGCGAAGGAG